CCTCTGTGCGTCTTCTTCTGTGTTTGGAAGTGAATCATCCAAACTCCAAACAAGCACTGGAAAGAAAAAGGAAACACTACGCACATTATGAGACCATATAACAATAAGGCCTCCAGCATGCATCACTCCACTACAGTGCCTACAATGCAACCCTTTGATTTATTATACTTTACTGTCATCAAAGTTGGTGTTCACAACACAGTCTTTTACAACCCTGTAACAGGCAGATGGCTGGTTACTGTATATAGGAAATGTATTTATTCAGTCGTACTTCTAAAGCTTTGTTTGAACAGGTGTTTTCAGGCTCAGATACAGACAAAGATGCAGACTTAAAGACACACAGGAGAAAACAGACTCTCAGTAGTCCAAGTCTTATCTTATCCAGAAAGAGCAGCTGCAAAGTGTGACCCCAGCTTACCTGTTAATGATTGGTGTTGTGGTGCCTGTGTGTGTGTGTATACTTTCTGTCCTCACATCATCTCTCCTCTTTCTTAACTGACAAGAGCTCATTATTAGTGGACTAGCTTTGATTTGTCAAGTTCAGCGGGGTGAATTTGAACATCTGTCGCATTTCAAGGTTGTCTCTGTAGGGGAGAGCAAACACAGCAGGGCTAAACTACCAAGGTAGATTATGTGAGGTTCGTGCACGTACACACACTCGGGGGGTAAATGTGTGACAAACCAATATGTAAGATCACTTCATTCACACATATTTTCCATATTTGCACAGCATGATGAGGTCACATGATATCAGTTAAATTGACTCTTTGGGAGGACACGTGCAAAAGCACCACCAAATATATGAGGACTTTATTTTTCTTGAAGGATAAGATAATAAAAATTTAATAATAAAAGATAATAATTTTAATTAGTTTTCATGTCTTGCAGCATCTTTAATTTGGTGGCCAAAAATGTACTTGTTGCATAGCAACACTTTCCAGAGGCATACATCTTTAGATATGATCTTTACTCTTGTCTCTATACAAAGGGAAGACACATGGGTGGCGCAGTGATGTATTGAATAGATATTACATTTTAAATCTAGTGTGTTGAAAACACTTAGTGCTCTCAATGATTGGTGGGCACATAAAACCATACACACCTATATTCATTCGCTGTTTTCCATGAAAATTTGTAGGATTTTAATTGTATTTTATTGGATTTTTTTATAGACCAAAAGGTATTAATATTGAATAAAACTCATATAATCTTTTGATATATTTTAAATATCATTGAACTGAATTCATGAATGATGATTCTGCCATGAGTTAATTTTAAGAGTGGCACAGGGACATGTTATGATGTGGCTACAGAAGGTGTATAAAGGGCTGAGATCTCTGACAAAGGAATAATACTCACTGTTATCCTGGGAGTTAGCAGCACTACACACCCCATGTGGCACATTCATATTAAAGCACTTATGACACTTGCCATCTGACCTTCATGTGGAAGGTGCCACAGTGTCAGACACCTTGTTCTGTGCCAGTGCGGGTGACTGGTCATCACAGAGACTTCTTCAGTCTGCCACACAAGATTGTCTGGCCTCTTAAATCCGAAATAAATGTGTGATCTGTGGGATTTGTGAGCCCCAAATGTGTGTGCATATTTCTACATTTATGTATGTGTGCACATTTGACTCATTGTGTGTGTAGGCGGATCTGTCAGGTTTGCATGCTCATCTGTAGCATGAATTTACATATATACATACATGTGTGCAAGAGTGTGCTGGCTATGTGTGTGTGTGTGTCTCCAGTCAGAGGTGACCGGTTGTCAAAGAGCTCTGACAGAAACCAGGTATCAGAGAGACGTGGTGTCACCTTGTCTCCTACAACCTTTACTCCTGAGATCTTGTGTGTGGGTGTGTTGGTGTGTGTGTGTGGGTGGGTGCGTGTGTCATACCTCTCCTGAGACACCACCTAACACACCCAAGGCAGGCTGACACACATGGAAGGGTCCCATGAGTGAACTTCAAGTGATGAGGCAGCAGTGTGTTTGTGTGCATATGAGTGTGTGTGTGCGTGGTTCACATCTCCTGAGATACACAACTCCCCTCAGAGCATGATTCACACACACACAGGTGCACGCACACACACACACACACACACACACACACACACACACAAATGGTTTGACATAACAAAAGTTGAGCTCTGCTCTTTCGGGGTCTTAGTGGTGCAGTCAGTCAATATCAGGGTCAGGGTCAAAGGAAGCAAGAGACGTTGGGGGATGTGGGGACATAATGAAAGGAAAGAGGAAAAAAAGAGGAAAATAAAGCATGAAAGAGAAGAACTTCTCTGATTTTTAATAACCTCTGAGACTGAAGTCTTAGAATCTTATTATCAGCAGTTTATTGAGGTTTTAGAGGTTTTTAGACTGACATGTACAAGTCAAAGGTAAGCATTGTTGCATTATAGTGAAGCAAATTAATTCTTCATTTTTGATGCATTTTTCTTTGCTAGGGCTGGGGGAAAAAAAACAAAGATATCACGTGGTGCAAACTTTTTCTCTTTTTACCCAGTTAACATTAAAATGTGAAGTATTAAAACAGTCTGAGGTTGAAAATAGAGGATTTACTGAACAACTTAATGCTGATGCAGAATCATTTAGTATTTTTTTTTCTGTATAGAGACAGGACATATTGTCTGAAAGGGGGGATCATAGCTCAGAGACAAACCAGCAACCACTGCAGCAGGGATTAAAATCTCGGCATGTGTAAAACATGCTTTAGCCACAGAGCTAAACTAGCGTCTGAACTAAGCAGTCTGAAGTTTTTGATTTAAGGGTGATACACAAAAAAAGAAAAAAAAAAGTGCAATATTATTACACCTTGGCTTTGTTTTTGTTTCTCTTGTGCTTTTTTGTTGTTGTTTGTTTTGGTCTCGAAATTTAGTTTGAATTTTCTTTGCAGAATCTGTAGAGGGAGATTATGGGGCACTGGGAGTGGACCAGACTTGACAAATTAATTAATGACTCGTTAATTTTCAAGTCGCACTGTATTTTTTCCTTATTACCTGTAGCTCTTTTTTATCTTCAATGAACTTTTTTTTTTTCCCAAATAAGTGAACATAATATTTAAAATGTGTTTTGGCAGCTGCATGACACTTGTTTTCAATGTTTTTGTTTGCCTTCAGGTTTGAGTAATAGATCAGATTTTTGTCCTACGTCTTAGAAACCTATTAGAAACATAATGGATGTAATCTATCCTCCATCCAGCAAAGTGACAAAGTGCTTTCTCACCAATTACTGACTGCCATCTCCCTCTTCACACCTGGCAGACAGAGGATGATGTTGATTCTGTGTGTGTGTGTGTGTGTGTGTGTGTGTGTGTGTGTGTGTGTGTGTGTGTGTGTGTGTGTGTGTGTGTGTGTGTGTGTGTGTGTGTGTGTGTGTGTGTCTGTGTCTGTGTGTCTGTGTCTGTGTGTGTGTAAAGGAGAAAGAAAGAAAGAGGGGATCAAAAAAGAAAACGGGCAGTGAGCGCCACACAGACAGATTAAGTCAGGGAGAGAGGTTCTAAGAGGTTGTCACTTGTGTTCAAGTTTCCTGAGTCTCCATCGGGTGAATGACATATCTTCATCTCAGTGATTTCACACTGCATTAGCTAACCCTCTGACTCTCTTTCATCCTTCAGGTCCATTGATCTCAATTTTTTTTTCTGTTTACCCTCTTATAAACGTCAACTTTCCTTTTATAGGAATGATTGGCAAGCCTGGTTCAGAAAAAAAAACAACAACTAAGTGCTCATTTCTGAACTATGTCGGCCCAGAAAACATTTAGAATTAAGCAGTGACTTGTTGTTGCAGACAAATATGGAGTAATAAAAATATAAAACTTGCACTCACACAGAAATTATGTGTGACTACAGTACAGCTTTCTTAAGTACAATAGTTTTAACAAAATGTAGGGAGTAGACTCGTAAATGTAAATGCGTTAAAAATGTGAATGTACAAATAAGCTGCAAATCAAAGAAGGCCCATCTTATTTATTTATTTTAAGTTCCATGAATAACAATCAAAAAGACATTGTCTGAAAAGCCGTTGTGTGCTCTAGATATTTGCATATGCAAACTGAAGGCCATGTGTTGCAGGTAGACGAAGTAAACCCGAGTCTTCATAATCAGCTGTTTATACAAAACTCATGTCTCTCTTTACCCTGACAGAGCTGAATATATGATGGATAGGTCTGTGGTTTTAGCTTTGAAGCACATAAAATATGTCAATCAACTGTATGGAGGAGTGCGGTTTAACTGTCCCACTCAGCACTCAGGCCCTCCAGCTCAGGTGTTCACACCCTTTTAGACAAGTCTCCCTTTCACTGGAAAAAGAAGAAGCCCTGAAGGTACAGAACTACCTCACGGGATCTGAGAAGTTATGCTGTGGGGAGGACAAGAAAATTAGTCAATGAAGGCAAGTGTACTGAGGATAAACAAGGATATGAGCAAGTTTGACCAGCTTCAAAGAACAAACAAGGACAATTTGTTAGAGTGGAGGAGAAAAGACATTAGCAAGAACAACAGCACTCAGAGAGAGCACAAGGCTGCAGAGAAAGGCTTTTACACAGGGAACAAGGAAAAAAGAACAGGACATGAATCAGAGGGAGCAGCAGATTACCTGTCTTCAGAGGACACTTCATATTTGATGGAGGGAAATGACAAGAAAAGTGCTGCCAGCGCTGGAGGAAGAAACCATGAGAGCAGTCCTTCAGGAACACTGAACAGGGGTCAAGGTTGAATACGCCCCGCAAGGCTACAGCAAGCTGGTGAGAGAAGGTGAACCAGCTCAGAGAAGGTGAACCAGCTCAAAGAGATAGCAAAAGAAAAAGTAAGCAGAAATCAGTCTGGTTACGAGAGAGAAGCAACAGACAAAGAGGTGGAAAAGGTGCACTTGCAGGCCTTGGCCCTGATGACTGTAAAGTAAGAAGAGCTGAAACAGAGCGAGGAGTAGTGGAAGATGACTTTCTACTGGACAAAAGGGAGGAGCAGATTCTGATGTTGAATTTGGGAAATGAGGTGAGGAGCTGGAAAAAGAAGCTGAAGTAGATGTCGCCCATGAACCAGAAGAAGAAGAGGGTCCAGACAGAAAGTGATGCCGAGGAGGAGCTCAAACTTCTAACAGTGCAGATGAATCAGCTCCAAGTATGTTTTGATGCAGAAATTTGATTTGTTTAAAGTGAAAGGTTTTTTCTTTTTTGATGTTCTTACCATAGCAAGTGTGCTGCATACAGAGGACAGCAGTCAGCAATGCTCCAGCTTGGAGAGGCCTCTCTGTACAAAGCCAAGGTTTGTACCCCTGCAGGCAGGGTCATGAATAACCCCTTGACGAATTCCTGCATATAAAAAGCATTTTGGTTAGTGTGCATGCTGTATTTTTGGATATTTTCTTCCCTTTGCCTTGATGTCAGCCTTACTCTATGACACAATGTTTGTTTCCAGGAAACAAACATGCGCTCTAGCATCACGTGCATATATTATTCTGTACGTCAGCTGTTTGAGACAGAGAGTTCAGACTTAAAGGAAACTTCACAGTTTGCGATTCTTGACTGATAAAACAGACGCTTTTTAGATCTATTTGGATTTCTCTGGCACCAGACAGTGGAGGCTACTGCACTAATTGTAAATGCTACAGCGCTGAAATGACTCCATAAATATACATATATATGTGTGTGTATAAAGATAAAAAGATACTGTATGTTGTTTTTATTTTCAGGAATCTCGTCCGAAAAAGATGAAGGAAGAGAAAAAGGGTTTCCGTTACAGGAGTGGATACCGGAATAAAAAACGTTACCTGTCTGCTTCTGACTGGATAGAGAGTAGTCAAGAGGAACAAAGTCAGCTTCTGGAGCCTTCACAGAGAGAGCAGAGAGAAACTGTGGCCATGCCAGTGAGGTGGAGGAAGCGGCTGCTTTTGTTGTTCAGGCTGGACCGTGGTATATGATCCATCCCCGGCCACAACCTGGTTTATGAATCTACAGTGTCACCTCATCCTCAATCAGGACTCAAACCGAAGACCACAACTGATCATTGTCTTCAACCTTAATTTTGTCCACTGCTCAATAGGGACCTTTTTAGCTCTAGATTTTGTGATGTATTGACAGTTTTTGTTGTTTATCTTGTTTTAAAGTAAAGCGTCTTTAAAATATTGTGTCCTGTAACTCATTGAACACAAGGGCATAAAAATCTGACTTCTGGTTTGCTACCTGGTGAAACCCTTACGCTCCTAAAGTAGAGGTTTAACTTAAGTCAAGTTAGGACAGCATTTGTGACGAGTACAGATATTCTTTAGGAAAATCCAGCAAGTGTTTTCCTCAACATTTTTAATTTAATTCAAAGATTATATCAGTTAAGTTGTGATTTTTAAAATATGCTGTATGTAAAAAGGTAAAACACTGTTGTCTAATCTCCCAAATCAACTCATGCTGATGGTAATAATAAGTTGATTTCTATGAACTAGCAAAACCCTTATTCTGGCAGTGATTGATCTCACTAAAGTCAGACTGTCCACAAAAAATGGAGGATCTCCACCAAGAAACACAGAAAATCTTTCTTATTCCTATAAAGATTTGTGTACAATGAAAACTTGGTACAACCAGAACGCTAAAATGACTTATACTTGCTTAGAGAGGACTATGTAATCAAATTAGAAAGGGGCCTTACACCTGTTGTGTTACAGCTTAAGCTAGTCTTCTGACCTGTAGAACAAGATCTCACCCATGAAGACAAAATGATAGAAAAGCTGAAGAATAAAAGACAAGAGGATATACTTGTTACACAAGGGACAGGGGTAAATGTATGTTGTTTCACATGCTTCATACATACAGAAACAGTGCTTTAGAATTCTGCAAACTATGAATATACTTATCATCACTGAGTCCTTTTAATTCTTATCACAGCTTTTTAACCACTAAATATTTGATAGCAGAGTGATGATTGCTATCAGATGTTCCTCGTGGTTTCCCGCTGCTTCCGCTGTGGTTTCCGTCTTTGTCACCTTTTCTTTACGTCTCAATCAAAGCTGATAAAATGAAGATATAATGAGCTGAGGTGCACTGAGACACAAACTCTTGACCTCAGATGGCCAGGTTTTTAACTCTTATATCACTCACAGTGTTTATGGGCGTGTCTATGAATAATTAACTGCTAATCAGTAAATGTAGAAAAACATCTGCTGAAATGAGGAAGCATCTGCTGCGGATGTAAACTGAAGCTGGTAAACATGGTGAGCATCTCCCTATAGATTCTATACGTTCACATGCCCATGTTTTATAATTCTATAGTTAGTATATATAGTGGATAACAAAGATCTATTAAGTGGAGGGGCCTGAGAAGCTTGTAGCGTCAGGAAAATCTGAATATTTTATATGAGGAGAAAAGAACAATAAGACACCACTCTTCTTAGTTTGGCTTAGTGTTTTTTTTGTTTTTGTTTTTATTTATGTGTGTGTGTTAGAGAAAGAGGGTGTTCGATTTTGTGCGTGTGGTCTTCTAGTTGATGACTATGTCCACACCCACTCAAACACCCACTCACCCTCCCACGGACACACACAGCTATTTGTTATGACAAAAGAGTGCGACTGACAGTGAGTGATGGTTGATTGATGGCCTCAGATGACTGCTGTGCTTTCACGCTGCAGCCAGACAGTTACACACTAACACACACACGCATACACTCATGCACACTAACACTTTCTGCCAGTCTGCCACCACAGAGTTAGCAACAGTCTGCGTTTTGCCTCCCTCACTTCTCCAAGCCAGTCGCTCTGCACTGCGGCAGGCAGGGGAAGCAGACACACTCTCACACACACTCTCTCCTCTCTGCTCCACTCCCATATTTTTTGGAAGGGACGAGGCGAGGAGCGAGCAAAAGCGAGACGGAACAGCATTTTTGCAATATTCTTTAAAATGTGGAGATGCTGTTAAAAATCCGGAAGACTTCTCAGGGATTGTGGATCTCTTTACTTTTGCTGAAAGTTTTTCAAAGAGATTGGGAGTATCATCATTGCACAAAGGAATATGCACAACTAAAGATGACAACCACAAAAAAAGGCACAAAAATGAGAAAAAGCGAAGGAGATCTGGACGTATGTGGTGGATTTTGGGAGCAAGCGATCGTGCAGCATTCCAACGGTCTCTTTTGGATGCGTGAGAGGACAGGAGCAGATCCAATGGTTTCTTCCTGCTCTTGTCCTGAATTCACCTCCGCAGCAGCTGGCCTCTTGCTTGGCTCTGGCTATGCTCAGTCTTCACCTGCATGCTGCTGCTGCTGATAAATCAACGGAAATCTCCTGCTGTCATTCCAGGATATAGATGCAGCCGGGCCTTGTGATTCTGCAGATTTTGCACCCTCCATATCCGATTATCAATCACATCCAGTGCAGCGGTGTCCACCTAGGCGAGCTGTCCAGCAACCAGCACCCAGCACCCAGCCTCAGAAAAAATCACATCCCCAGTGGAGGAAAAAGATGCAGAGATCTGTGGAACAAATGAGGGGGGAAATAGAGAGAAAGAGAGAGGAGCTTCCAGACAGTGTGACCTACATTCAACACTGTCTGGAGTCAGAGACAGAGTGAGAGGGAGAGAGAGAGAGAGAAAAGCGAGATGGGGACACAGAGTGCCAGCAGAAGCAGAAAGCGAGAGGATGAGATTGCAGGAGATAAAAAGAGAGTAAGACAAAGAAACAAAGAGAAGGGAAAGTGAGGCAGGAAAAGGAAGCTAACATGTAGCCAAGATCATTTGTTTCCTTCCCTGAGCATCTATCCTTTTGTACATTTTGTCTCCTCATTTTCTTCTTCTACCTGGTGCTTTCTTTCAACCCTTCACCATTAATCAACCATTGTCTGACGTGTGTGCAGGTATGCAGCTTTCTGCAGTGCAACCAGTCTGTGACACAAATAAGCAAAGAAACAATCATCAGAACAGCCACATGTTTCTCTGCTATAAGCTTTGCTCTCTTTGTTTTTTCATTTCTTTCTCATCTCCACTTTCTCTCCTTTTTACTCTGCAACCCTTTCTCTCTATCCAACCACCCTTTGCACATTAATCAGTCCCCTCCTTCTCCCCCGTCCTCAGTCAGCATTTATCTTTCTTTGGGTAGCTCTAACAGTATTTTTATGGTGGATTACTTTGTCTAGCTGCATGCTGTTATCTAGCACCACTGGAGGGGAAGAACAGAACCAAAGCAGCAGCAGCAGCAGCTCTATCTGTATCTGCTGAGCTTAGCTTCATATCATTCTGATTGTCTACTGGATTGAAAGCTGTCTGTCTCAAAGCTGGTGGCTTACAAGCTGGTTTTCACAGCTTTACACAGCTTCCAGCTCAATATTCGATTGAGAAGGTGGTAAATTCGAGTGTGACTGTCTGCCATGCTGCCCAAAATGTTGAGGCTATTCTTGCCTGCTCTAACAATTTCTCCTCCTTAACCTTGTCTTTTTCTTTTTCTGTCCCTCTCCCTACGATTTCTCTCGCCTTTCCTGCCTCCTTCCCCAGCCCTTTGCTTCACTTGCATGTCAGTCCTCAGGGATCAGTGTTAAGGACATGAGAGAGGATTGCAGTTGAAGGAGAGGAAATGACATGGGTAATGGAAGAGGACACACAGGCACCTGTCAGGGAGAATCACGGGTGTGGAGAGGGGAGAGGAATGAATTATTCATGAGAGAGAAAAACACTGTGTCTACCTCCTTGAATAAGCTTGATCAAAATACCATTTCCTGAAACTCTTTAGAATTTTCATCTTTGTCCTTATTTCTGACAGATAGCAGCTTTCAATAGGACAGCTTGCTGCATAGAAATGTTGTTGTATTGTTGGGATGTTTTATAGTGCAAGATTTTCAAGGTTTATTGGAGGAAAAGTGGCTTTCAACAAGTTCTTCAAACACAAAGTCAAATGTTCCTCAAAATACCAGAGTCATTATACAAAGAAGCACCCACAGCAAAGGGGAAATGCTCCCAAACCCACGATTTTTGTGATGTTAAAATAAAGGACATATTTATGATATTTATACTAGATCAAAGTATGAAAGCTACTTACGTCAAAAGTATTTATATTTGTGTTGCATAGATGTGTTGCTTAAAATTGGTCAGTTGGTCACTGATGACATACATGCTATAATTTATGTGTCATTTTAGTCTATTGTGTAACACTGGTCCTTAGAGTTTAGATTACTTCAATGGCATTGCGCCCATCACATTGCAATGCAAGTCTGCTGTGTAAATGACAGAGCGTAATTGGTGTTACAAATAGGGTGTTGCATACGTAATGCCACAACCATAGACTGTATAATAACTGGACTTTGTGTAGTTTATTTCACTGATTTGTTTCTGAGGCTGATCAGCTGATGTCACCATATTGAAAATGCTGACTCAACCTAAGTCAGCTGTGCCTCTGACTCACCAATCTTGTAACCTTAATACATTCGGAACCCTCATAGTGGGAATCATCGGAGCCCCGAGCTACTCAGACCAATATCACTTTTTGAACCAGGCTGTAAACCTGTTTTAACTGCAGTTTTAAGCACTTCCATATCGACTTCATTTCTCAGGACTTGAGATTGCCCCTTGGTAACGCCACATACACACCCAGGGCCTGATCTACTATGTGCATATAAACACATGCAAACTTGATATAGTGCAAAGCTGATGTACTAACTCGGTGCACTGAGGATTGTGTTTGTCAAATAAGCAAAATTCCATGCGCAATCTATTTAGTGTGTTTGCCTTCATGAATGTGCAGAATGTATGCAGATTATCAGAACGTGGAAAATAGTGGGAGGAGAAGATGCAAATGGAGTCATTTAGCACCCGCAATGAGATTTATCAAACCCTGAAACTGATTGGTCTCTGTTTTTGTATCCATATTTAGCACGTTGGAAAGGCCGGTGCAAACGTCACAGCGTCAGGTACAAACGGCTGCGATCATTGTGGCGTGAAAGAGGCATAGGT